ATGACTATTGTATACACAAACGAAACAACAAGTGTTTTCAAACAAAGCACAGTACCACACAATGTCGAAACAAGTACGATAGTAAAACAGGCGGCACGTGCAATGGATGGTTACATACAAGAAATGGCGAAAGCCAGTCAGATAGTTGCGGATTCGACCAAACAAAGTCGAGATCTAACAGGAGAACGTTTAACGCGTGCATTTGAACGCATTTTCAGTGGAATGGAAGAAGTTGCTACTTGCAAAAACATCCAATCATCTTTTAACAGATCTGGTTTGGTGTGTAGGTATATCGCCGGAGAATCCAAGATGTTTGTAGACTTGAGTAGTGCGTCTGACTTTGTCGCAGTGTACCCTGATACATTTGAAAGGGTCAAATGTAACCAGGTTTTATTTCGCCAATTGTCTGCCCCAGATAACACTTCTGAAAGAGTAACGTTGATCCAGACACCGAGAAGGCAGTTTAATGCTGCCTTACTGTTTTCTGAGATTGAAGAAAAGTTGTTTGACCTTTCAAATGTCGGAATCAATGTGCAAGCTGTTGTATATTCATTAAATTTACTAAAAGAAGTAAACTTGGGGAGAGAGTCAGTGTTTCCGATACTCAAGTATACAATGAACATCACCAACAAAGACAAAACCAAAACTCCAAAACCGAAAAGTGCATTCACAAAGCAGAAAGTCGAAACAACCAACAAGAAGAGAACGAACGTAACCAACCCGAAAGTTGCCAAGTAATTTTTAATCACTTTTTGATTTTTGAGTTCATGACTTCAGAATCTTTTTCGTGTTTTTGTTAATCATTTGATTGGATGCAGGCTTTTTGTCTTGATTTGAGTAGTGCTATATACAGCTTTTATAAGAAAACTAATTTATATAGAAAAAAATATTAACCTTTTAAATTAGCAGGCTACTTTTTCTTCGCAGGCTCCTTTTTCCGGTCACTGTATTATAATTATTATAAATCATAATACAAATTTAAAAATATATATTTTTATTTTGGTATAACTAAATTTATTAAATTTATTATTTATATATCTACACAAAAATAATTTAAATATTTATTGGGAATAAAACATCGTTTTAAATAATAGAGAAAGCTTAAATATCATTGGAAATAATTCGATTATGTAATTAAGATTATATTAATTGTATATTAACTGTTTTTATATTTTTAATGTGAATTTAAAATAGAAAAAAATTGATTTTATATTGGAAACAAAAATGTGGTACTTGACATTTTTACTATAAAATATAGTTTTAAATTAGTTAAAATATTTTTTGTTAAAAAAACAAGGAAAAAAGCCACAGTTTTTTTGATTAAAATTTTTAAAAATCTAAATTTTACTTGAAAAGCTGCGTTTTTGAAGACAAACTAAAATTTTTGTGAAATTTCAATGTTTTTATAATAATAATCAAACAAGATGACCAAATAATCACATTAAAAGTTTATATATTTGAAAGAACAAAAATTCAGGGGTGCAGCCAAAGCTTAAGCTGAAAGGGGGACTTATGATTATTTAATGAAACTTTTTGGAGTATCCAAGCGGGATATCTCAAATATTAAGAAAAGTCAACAACATTTTAAGTATTAAAAATGTCAGTTTATTGGTCATTTGTTATTATCAATTAAGTTTATTCGTTTTGGCATTAAATATCGTGTTTCAGTCGATATTTTGTATTTTGTATTATTTTGCCTTTATTATTAGTTAATCTTTTTTTTCATTTAAGTCTGTGTTGGTCTAAAATCCACACAGTTTTTATTTTGAAATATTTGTAAATTTACAAAAAGTTCGAACAAAAAGCCGCGGTTTGATTTAAAAAATTTTAATACGAATTTGCGATTTTTTTTCTTTTGTTCCACACAAATTTTTCTTTAATAAGTATAAAAAAGATTAGAAAATAATGTGGTACTGTGGACACCAATTCAACATTTTTTTTGAAAGCTAAACAAAAACTAAAAATAATGAAATTGGGGTTAAATAATTTATTGGTAGTACCAACTATTTGTTAACAGTTTATATTAATTTATATGTTTTTTGTAATAATTTTTGTAAAAAATAATGAAAAAAAAAACTTCTCAAATTAAATAATTATAATTTTTATTTTCATTAATATTACATTTTTTAATATTGATATGTTAAAAATGTATCAATAATGGAAAAAGTTTTAAATAAAAAATCCACTGTTGAATGGTTTTAATGTATTATATTCATTTTATTATATTTTAGTTATTAAGTTTGTTCATAAACCAGTTTATTTGAAAACTTTATTCATGTTTAATGTCAACTTTGAAGATTTTAGTTTTTGGCACATATACTTTTCTGTATTTATTATATACTTTTTTGTACAGTAAACTGGAGTCAAATCATCAAGGCCAATTTACATTAGCTTTAACTTTAACTCGCCTTTTAAATTTTAGTACAATGTTTGAATCCGCCAAACTTGTTGTTCTCTTTGTTTATTATTTATCTCATTGTTTTTATTTTTATATGGAATTTTAGTTGTTTTTTTTGTTGAATTCTTATATTGTATCTATCGCTTTACATAAAAAAACTATTCAAATAACCATTATCAACAACAACGGCACCAATCTCTATTGTTACACTCAATGTTTGACCGGTAAATAATTAAATCAGTTAATTGGTCAAAGTTTGTTTTAATTAAAATAATAATTTAAAAAATTAAAAAACGATTTTTCATAACAAAAATTAACATATTTTTGTTGTTAAACAATGTTTTTAACTGACTTTATTGTAATTTTTATTTACATCTAATGT